AGACTTTAGCTGTTGTAGACACGGTGTTACTCACCTATTGAGAAGAAACAAAGCAACCTCGGCGTCCGATCGCGGGCCTCGCTCCTTGAGTTCTCTCCAGCGCTGGAAAGCTGATCTGATATTTACACGGGTCCTACTTCTTGCCTTATTGTTCCGCAGACGTTTTCCTCTTTTGTTTTTTATTCGCCATCTCTAATTTTCTGTCACTCGGCTCGGCTCGGCTTATGTCCGTCCCATGCACTGAAAGCGCTCTCCTCCACATCACGAGTAGACACGCCCCTGATTGCTGATTGGCTACAAGTTTGTTTTGCGATTCGGCCCGAATCAGTTTTCTAAAGTGTTTTTGAAAAATCACATACCCTGCCTTTAAGGTTCAGATTTTATGCTAATATGTGATAATTAATGCCAATATATATACAAATATATTAGAGTGACCGTCAATAAATCAGTGTACTTTTGTGTAGTTTTTGCCATTTTTTAAAATATTTAAAAATATATATATTTTATAGACTTCATACTCATTTTTTCACTATTTTTTTAATCTGTTCACTGAAACAACTAGCCTACTTTAGATTCGCTCACTGAATAATTTCAACATAATACCAGTCTCATTGTGAGTGTTCAGTGTTTTATCCACAAATTACAATAAGCAATGAGGCCTTATTATAAAAATGTGTATAAATTCTACTGCCATCTGGTGTTCGTTAAGATGAAGTGCATCTATGAAGCCTTTTCTAGGCTTGAGCCGCAAGGCTGCACTTTTCTTAAATTGTAAGTCGCTTTTAATAACATGCAATATTCCAACTTACCATAACACCATTATTATTTAGTGTGGTTCCATAACAATATTCGGCGAATTGTTGAACGACATCTGATTTTGTAGTCCCATTTCATCTTCAGAGTAGTTTGTGATTACGTCTAACACAACTAGGGAATAATTTTTGTTTTTAAGATGTTTTTCTCAACTGTATCTGGTCAGATTCAATCTACTTTAAAGATCTGTAGTATGAACATTAGTACATGTACATTTCACAAAATTTTACTTATTTTTTTTAATTTATTTTTTTTTATTGTAACAATACACCACCTGATAAGCATGTCCACTAGAGGACAGAAATGATTCGTTTTTAAGATCAAAGGCTAATTTAAGTGCTTCGGCATAAATACAAGTCACTCTAAATTCACATTTACAAATTCAGATATGATTCACTTCTACATTCACATCCGATTCACTTCAGAACATATCTTTTGGATAACATTTAAGTTCACTTAATACAGTACACTCTAAAAAAAATGCTGGGTTGTTTCAACCCAACTTTGGGTAAAATATGGACTAACCCAGCTGTTGGGTTACATTTTTTACATTAAATTTTTAACCCAAAAGTTGGGTTAGTCCATATTTGACCCAAAGTTGGGTTGAAACAACCCAGCATGTTTTAGAGCGTAGAAGAAAGGTACAACATTCACAATTGAAAAGTAAAATAATACAAATCTCAACTTAGATGAGTAGTTGGTTAGTTTCAACAGCACAAGTGTCGGATGCATTGATGGTCAAAGATGTTTCTGAATCGTCTCACACAGTCTGATGAATTTCAACACATGACGAGAAGGTCATGTGATCTGACCTCAAAGCTGAAAATGAATATTAACCTGATTTTGGTGTTAATTATTACATAAAAGAGCACATACAATGGGTAGAGAAATACTGCTGTGGTAAAATATATATTATAAAAGCCATATATGATCTTTCTGACTACTACTAAGCTACCAGAGTCAAACTGCTAATAGAGGTGTGAAGCATAACATCATTAAAATGGGTTTTATCAGTACATTTCCCAGTTAATCTAAAACCAAAGGACACGGTTAATTTCTTACTTCCTCTGGACGGATTCTAGAGGCTCAAAAAGGCAGAAATATGCTGTGTTGTTGTTGTAGCTGGAGCTCAAATGTTGGTGATATCAGTGTGTTGCTCATTCACTAGATACATACTGTTTATGTATGATGCCACTGGTACTCAATGTAAAAAGAGCGGAGATAATGTTAATCGCCGAAGAGGCACATGCGTGTTTCACTTAATGTTGTACCATGTGCACGAGTGAAGACAGCATCGCTTATAAGCTGTTCTTGTTTGTACATTCAGGTAAGCGATAATTACAGATACATGCACGAACTGTTGTATAAATTGAATATCAGTTGGATGTAATGTTATTGCTGTGAGTTACGGGGTATATTACTCTGCTGAGTTATGTAATTTTAAAGTGTATGTGTTAGTATACGTACTTAGGCAATTAACTAAACTACAATACATACTGTTTATGTATGATGCCACTGGTACTCAATGTAAAAAGAGCTGAGATAATGTTAATCGCCGAAGAGGCGCATGCGTGTTTCACTTAATGTTGTACCATGTGCACGAGTGAAGACAGCATCGCTTATAAGCTGTTCTTGTTTGTACATTCAGGTAAGCGATAATTACAGATACATGCACGAACTGTTGTATAAGTTGAATATCAGTTGGATGTAATGTTATTGCTGTGAGTTACGGGGTATATTACTCTGCTGAGTTATGTAATTTTAAAGTGTATGTGTTAGTATACGTACTTAGGCAATTAACTAAACTACAATACATACTGTTTATGTATGATGCCACTGGTACTCAATGTAAAAAGAGCTGAGATAATGTTAATCGCCGAAGAGGCGCATGCGTGTTTCACTTAATGTTGTACCATGTGCACGAGTGAAGACAGCATCGCTTATAAGCTGTTCTTGTTTGTACATTCAGGTAAGCGATAATTACAGATACATGCACGAACTGTTGTATAAGTTGAATATCAGTTGGATGTAATGTTATTGCTGTGAGTTACGGGGTAATATTTGACCCAAAGTTGGGTTAGTCCATATTTGACCCAAAGTTGGGTTAGTCCATATTTGACCCAAAGTTGGGTTGAAACAACCCAGCATGTTTTAGAGCGTAGAAGAAAGGTACAACATTCACAATTGAAAAGTAAAATAATACAAATCTCAACTTAGATGAGTAGTTGGTTAGTTTCAACAGCACAAGTGTCGGATGCATTGATGGTCAAAGATGTTTCTGAATCGTCTCACACAGTCTGATGAATTTCAACACATGACGAGAAGGTCATGTGATCTGACCTCAAAGCTGAAAATGAATATTAACCTGATTTTGGTGTTAATTATTACATAAAAGAGCACATACAATGGGTAGAGAAATACTGCTGTGGTAAAATATATATTATAAAAGCCATATATGATCTTTCTGACTACTACTAAGCTACCAGAGTCAAACTGCTAATAGAGGTGTGAAGCATAACATCATTAAAATGGGTTTTATCAGTACATTTCCCAGTTAATCTAAAACCAAAGGACACGGTTAATTTCTTACTTCCTCTGGACGGATTCTAGAGGCTCAAAAAGGCAGAAATATGCTGTGTTGTTGTTGTAGCTGGAGCTCAAATGTTGGTGATATCAGTGTGTTGCTCATTCACTACATCCAGATTATCTCCATTATGCAGCGACTTCACTACAGTCACAGATTCATTCTCTCCATTTCCTGTGGAATCAGTCAGAAAATACAGAGACAATGACTAATTAAAAAGAGAAGATGAACTGATCTGGATGTACTTATATATGAGATGTCAAAACTAAGATACAATGTACGAAATCATTTAACATACTACCAGTAGCACATTTGTCTCATTTGATAGGTTCAATATAGTTTATGCACTTTTCTCACAAATGAACATGATATTTATAATATTTGGGAACTCAGTCATGCATCTGCTAGAATATGCAAACTGTTAATTTACATTCATTCACACTGTGTTTGAAATATGAATGAATCAACAGAATGAAGCCACATCGCACTCATCAGATCATGATATTGTTTTAAAGTTAAAGATATTCAGCACAAACAGAATCATTAGATCAAGTCTTTCTTGATAACATATCACAAAATAATTATTTTTATTGTTGAAAAAAGAATCAAATTACACAAATAGACGTACAATAGAACAACAGTAGGCTATGAATTAAATTATTTAATTAAAAATATACATTGATTCCTATTAGAGCAGTGAGTAATTCAGTAGTTGACAGCTGATCCATTAATCTCCAAAATACGATGGTCACTTCTCACTGTAACCAAGATTGTTCTTCTTATTATTATTATCATCATCATACTCATTATGAATATTAAGCAAAACAACACTGCTCTAAATGCTGAATCTTTTGCACAAAAATATACATTTTGTTGCAATACTGCATATTCTTGCACTATATCACACATCCACATGTATAATTCATGTTTATTTTAAATAATTAGATCATGTTTATTAATTACACAAGGCAACAGTGACCTCAGCATAGAAATATTAATAATTTTACATGGCTAAAAATATAGTTCTTTTAAAACTCTTTTTAACATCAAGTATGTCCTGCTCTTTATTTTCTTATTCAGGCATGTTTTATTATAACTGCAACATGTCAATAACTTTAAGTAGTACAATGCTATATAGATGTATTTACATACCGTGATAAAAATGAAATATCAAAATCTCCAACGCTAGACACTTTATTTTGTTGCCATGGTCTATACTGTATATTGTCATTCTGCTCAGCCTTTTGAAATTTCAAAGGAAACATCATTCAGATGCTGTTTTATCAGATTGAAATATAGACAAAGACAGTTTGTGGTGTTTCAGACAAAAAGAAAGGTAGTATTTTTGCTTCATTTACAGAGTGCTGATCTAAATAAAAGCTGAAGTAAATACTAATGAAGGAGAGGCAGCAACAGAATAGTGTTTATTTCACAGTGCGTGAATAAAACTTTAATCTTTAAGAATTCTAAAGAATGAAATTAACTACAGAACAAACCCTGAATGGAGTCTGAACATGAAACTGTTTGATCTAAATTACCTGCAGAAAAAAACAATGTATGAGGAAGAACTGTGATCATTATTACACTGACTGGAGAAACTCACCTCTGGCAAAAACATCGAAACTCTTGTTTTTGGACTTTTCAGCACTTCTGTTGATCTTCATTTTATAGGGTCCAGTGTGTTCCGTTCTGAAGTTTGTGATGGTCAGGGATCCAGTCTGCTCGTCCAGCTTCAGTCTGCCTCTGAATCTCCCATCAAGATCATCATCATATGTAGCGATCTCTCCGGTCCCTTCTTTGATTTCAGCGATGAGATTTTTATCTCCAAACATCCACCGTATCTGATCGCTTCTCTGTATTTTATAGTCAGTGTGTAGCGTAACATCATCTCCCTTCTTCACTGGCACATACTCCGCTATATGTCAGAGCAGCACATAGAAACAGAGAAATTAGGAGATTATAACAACCAGTCGTAAAGCTTCCCACTGTTATACAGTAGGGGGCGCTATTATGCATCTTCTGAAATAGTACAGCATCTCTGGATCCAAAAACAAGCGAAGAAGCAGAAACTAGTAGTAGAAGCATTGTTTATGCACATATAAGCTAAGGCAATCATCAAATAGCATTATTCAATAGCATATAAACCAAAACTGCCTAACATTACCAAATCAAATGTCAAATCTACAAAGAGGTATATAACTGTGCAAGATTTAGGAGTATTGATGGACTCAATCTACATAATCTAAGCAATTTTCTCACCTTACTTTCAATTTTTTTGTCAATGAAACTTACCCACATTTAAGTGTTGATAAAACAAGATTGCTTGAAGTGAGAATACAATGATTTTTTGTTGTTGTTTAAAAGCAGAGGCTCTGTTCTTTCTTTTGATATAGGCTAATGTATGTTCAGATATTCATACAACAAAATAATCCGGAAAAGTTTGTGAACATTTTGAAAAATGCTCCTGCTTAGGCAAGGCAAGGCAAGGCAAGGCAAGGCAAGGCAAGTTTATTTGTATAGCACATTTCATACACAATGGTAATTCAAAGTGCTTTACATAAAAGAAAAGAAAAAAAAAAATAATCACAACAATAAAACAAGGAATTTAAAAACATTGAAAATGATTAAAACAATTGATTTAAGAAGTTTAAAATGAATTTAAGAAAACGATAATACGTAAGCAAGAACGTCCGAACGGTAGCGAAGCCGGAAGCTGATTTGTTGCTTATTGGCAACTTTAGGAAGAAAAAAATTTATATCAAATTACAGTAACACTATTATATGCACATTTACCTTTAAAATCCGGTTTAGTGTAAATCTGTGTTCATTTCAATGATCATTGCTCTTACGCTAATGTGCATTTTAAAAGACAGTTACTTACCAAGCATAACAACCTTGAATTTCTTGTATGAGGTCCTTCCACGGCTGATGATCTGTGCTTTATAGGCTCCAGTGTGTTCAGTTGTGATGTTACTGATGGACAGAGATCCAGACTCTTCCAGCTTCAGTCTGTTTCTGAATCTCCCGTCAGCAACATCATGTGTCTCTCTGGTCTCCCCTTTGATTTGAGCTATGAGAGTCTCTTCAGCTCCAAACATCCACAGAATTTGATCATCCTTCTGTATTTCAGAATCAGTCTCTAGAGTGACATTCTTTCCCTCGTCCACTGATATCGTCCTCTCTTCATTTATGACAACACAACACATAAACAGAGAAACACAATGTTGCCATTAGATCAAGTGTGTGCATGCGAGCAGCATAGTTTGTTGTTACTATATAAAGATAATTTAGATGTTGTTTTATCAGTTTGAAATGGACATGATTGCCCGTCTTCTCACAAGAAACTTCATATTACTTTCTTAACGACTCAGAGACATTTGCTGTTAATTTACTAATTTACCCTCAGGCCATCCAAGATGCAGGTGACCGTTTTCTTCAGTAGAACATTTTTAGCAGAAACTGTGGTCCTTGGTGATTCAAGTCAATGCATGCAAACACAGGCAAAACAAAATTAATACCCCTGGTTCCTGATAATACATTGAGGTCTTATGAAGTGAAACAAGAGGTCTATGCAAGAAACTGAAAATTGCATAGAATTACCCCCCCCCCCACCACTGCCCACAATAATATTCA